ACTAATTATATATAAAGTATTTATTTTTATGCACATATTTACCTACAAAATTTACAGAAAATAAAACAATGCTGAATATATAGAATACCCTCTTATGACTTCGTAGGAGCAGAGGGTTTTATTGCTGCAGCTTAAAGAATTAAAATTTTATACACATGAAAGCCAAGATCAACACATTTAAGTGGTAGCCTTGCTAAAAAGTTTGTGTCCTGTTAACTGAATTTTCAGCTTTATGGTAAATGGAATTTAAAAGACAGCTTGTGAAATAATTTAAACCTTTTCAAAATCTTCTAGTAAACAGGTAAAAGGCACCTCCAGTTCTTTAAAATATTTACAGCAATCCTAATAGTTTCAGTTTCAGGGCTATTATAGTACATGTGGCTAATATGCATACACAGTATGTCATTAACACTCTCTGAACAGTGAGAACCGTGGACTCGGGTTTGTGGTGCCGCTCCCACGTGACCTTTGTGATGGAGGGGCTGATCAATTACACCTGTGCAACACTAGTGTCACAGCCACGTCCACCACAGCATAAAATCCAATTATCTAAAACAATGACTATCGAATTCCCAGACATTACATAATTTATAACTAAACTTGTATATTCAGAAGCCTTTGTGGAGTGTTCTTAAAATTAATTAAAAAACATAAAGTATATTCAGCGTTAAACGAAAACAATGAACAGGAAACTTACTAACACAATAGTGGCTGAAATTCACTATCTGGCTTAATGAAAACTGTTTCTCAAAACGTCTATAATTTGTTACAACGTACACAATGGAGAGAAGTCTTCCTCAGTTTAGGCTCAATCCGATGTTTTTCTTGCATTATGATTAGAACAGAGGAGTGTAAGAATGAAAGGCACAGCTATGCAGGATAGCTGGGTTTAAAGAGCTGTGGGGATGGCAAACAGATGTTCCTGAAATACTGGTGCAGGAGAACAGAGTCCGAGTAACATCTCCCTCTGTAACATTGGCATTGATTTGCTATTTACAGTAGTTTGCAAAAATACATTATAAAAACTGGATGAGGTTCTGTTTCTAAGTTTAACTTAGTAACATACAGACATACTTCATCTGCAAAAGTCTCTGCAGGGTCTGAAGTACTAAAGTGACACTAATACTGAAACACAGATAATCAAAGGTACCGAGCCAGAGAATGCGAGCCATCATCATCAAGATCACCTGGGTAAATATTGCACACTTCTTGTCAGTTGTTGCTATGACCTTCACATATCCAACTGTAAAAGGAATCCTTTATGGCTTTTTGCTCAATCACTTATTTGAAGAAAGGCTGTTGGAGGTCCCATAACAACGAGCGTACATTGTCATTGAACATGAGGCCTAGGTTTCAAAATGAGTTTTCCTGTCTGTAAAGATGAAAAAAAATGTTTCAATACACAGTTCTATTAAAAATATAACTTCTCCATAAACCTTAAAGTGCATTTGAAGGGTATCAGAACACCCCTTTATATTAAGTAAAGATTAATCAATAGTTACGTTTTCAAAGTTTTCCTTGTGTGGAGCATTCTTTCTGAAATCTTCATCACTTTAAAACACAATCTGTTTGATGAATTCCCTGTCCACTGGCTACCTAAAAACCGACCAATCAACCCAATGAATAAAATCCCAACATGTATAAACCAATTCATGCTCCTTGCCAAATGGACGTTTATAAAACATAAATGTATTTGAGCAAAAACATTTTTCCTTTTCCAACATTACATTTTTAATTCCAAGTGAAAATGTAAACCAATGGTTGGAGTACTGGACACTCACAAACTCAGTGTTAAGTGGATATAACTCTTCTGTGAGGCCAACGGTCTTTTTTTTTTTTTTTTTTAATATAAGCTCTACACCCAACGTGGAGCTAGAACTAATGATCCCAAGATCAAGAGTCACATGCCCTATGGACTGAGCCAGCCAGGTGCCCTGGACCAACTGTCTTATTTATCCAAAAAAAGGGTACATGCCACATAATCCAAATAGTTCTACTTCTGGGAATTTTTCTGAACGAAACTGGACTTGAGTGTAAAGCTGTACACAAAAATGGTACTAATTCTTTCATTCAATATCTACTGAGTGCCTACTATGGGCCAGGCCTTGCATGAAATGCTAGGGATCCAGGAATGAACAAGACAGACTCTCTGGTCCTCTTGGAGCTCAAGTTCTGGCAGAGAATACAATACGTAATATAGAAACTGTGGAAACAACTGTATGACGAACAGGGCATTATATCATGATGCGTCCATAAAATGGGACAATACATGATTAAACAAAACAAAAGACCCTAACTATGACAGTGTGGGTAAAAAGCCCAGAACCCTGCATGCGATTCACATGCAATACATGGTGGCTCTTGGAGCCTAATATTGGGTCAAAGAAGCAGGTCTGAAAATTCCTTAATATCTTTTATGAGAAGTGAGAATGTGCAACATAATATAAGACACCTTTGGTTGCTGAGACTCCAGTATCCTCAGGTCAAAAGTGCTGTCCAGGGGCGCCTGTGTGGCTCAGTCGGTTGAGCATCTGACTTCGGCTCAGGTTATGATCTCAGGATTCTGTGTTCGAGCCCCACACTGGGCTCTGTGCTGAGAACTGGGAGCCAGGAGCCTGCTTCAGATTCTCTGTCTCCTTCTCTCTCTGCCCCTCACCCACTCACACTCTCTCAAAAATGAACTTAAAAAAAAAAAAAAAAAAGTGCTGTCCAGATTCTGGTCACCTTAAGATTCTCCCTTTCACTTCATTTTCAGCCATTTGATTTTTGACAATTCCTTGACACACTGGTAGAACTTGGACACTAATTTTTTCACTGTTTTGTTGAGGTACAATTTATATACAGTTAACTGTTCAAACCTTGTGTACAGTTTTATGAGTTTTAACAAATATATATGGCCACATAGCCACCACTCAGATCTAGCTACAGAACATCACCACCACCCAGAAAGTTCTTCCATTCCTTACACAGACATAACCACTTACCATAAATTCTGCCTGTCTCTGATCTTTACACAAATGGAATACTAGTGTGTGTCCTTTCGCATCTACTTCTTCCACTCAATGGGTGTGAGATTCATCCATGTTACTGTTTCAGTAGTTTGTATCATTTTATATTGTTGATTACAACATAAAATATACAGTATTCCACTGCATGAATAGACCATTTGTTTTATCCACCGTTTTAATCTATTTTAAATTACATGAGTAAGACGTTAATATAATCTCATTTTTTATGTTTTTTAAAAATTTTGAGAGAGAGAGAGAGAGAGAGAGAGAAGCATGCACAGGGGAGGGGTAAAGGGGGAGTGGGGAGAATCCCAAGCAGGTTTCATGCTATCAGTGCAAAGCCTGACATGGGGCTCAAACCCACACACTGTGAGATCATAACCTGAGCCAAAATCAAGAGCTGGAGGCTTAACTGACTGAGCCACCCAGGCACCCCTAATGTAATCT